TCCCTGCCAGTTTAGTTACAGTTCAGTCACCGGAACCACTCCATGGCACTGCCCCCCCCCAGGCAGTTTCACTTCCAGGGTCCAAACTCCCCATAGCACACACACTGATCCGGTTCCACAGAAGAAAAGCCCACTCCCCCACCTATGCCCCTGCGCAGCTCCCCTCCTTTCCCCCTTGGTTTTCCTTTTTTTTTTTTTTCCTCACAGCTGCTCACCTAGCTCTGCAGGGCCTGCAGATGCCTGCCTCTGCAACAGCACTTCTGGTTTAACCCTTTCTTAACTCTGAATGTGAATGTGCTGCTTGTTGCCAGTGACAGAAATCTCTTCCTCCTTATCAATATCAGATAGGACAGATGCAGAAGGTAATCCTCTCGGAGGTACCTGTGGTACGTGATTTTCCACCTTATGTTCCTCATTACTGTTTTTTTAACTTTAAATATCTTTCCCCAAAATCACAGGCTGAAATACATCTCTCCATCTTAACTTTCAGTTTTTCCCTGTCCCTTTCCAAAGCCAAAATTAAGGAATCTGGTGGAGCTATATTAATTTTGCATTCAGTCTGTCACTCCGTATGATTTCTTAAAGTGAAAAACATATCTGCATACATTACTTCATCTCATTTTCCTTGCCCCCTTAAAACAACATTAATTGTAACAATGTATTATAGTTCAGAGTTCCAATTTTAGGCCATTTTTCCTGATCTTCCAAAGTATACAAAGGCCATCATTGGTTACAATATTTTACCAATATTTTCTTTTTTACCAAGCCCCCAGGAGACCCTCCAAATTCTTTCCAGTGTGCCAAAACGCACCCAAAAGTATTCTTTTTAAAGATCTCTTCACTCTGCTGATTTTCCATTATCAATCTCACATTCACACACACACACACACAAATGGGAACCCCCACACACACTCCACACAGTTACAACACTTGAGACAAAGACAGAGACTTAAATTAAATCAAAGAAACAACAGTTAATAACACAGTTAATGACACATCCTGTCAGCAGTACCAAAATCACAAGACCAAAATCATTACTATAACAAGCCATAAAATAAGACGAATACTTGTAGAATCAAAAGCAATACTTCCTAACACCCTTTATAGTTGACCAGCGTGTCAGTGTCCCAAGAAGGATAAGACCCTTGTGTCCAACCAGCCTGTCTGCGTCCCACTGTGGGAACCATACTGAAAAGCCCACTGTATCGGAGGGTGATTCTACTAACCTATTCAGAGACCCACGACGACAGCATCACTGAATCAAATCCCTTATGGGCTGTTGATAGCACATTGGACCCAAAACCATTTCCACAAGACACCCCCTGCGTCTTGTAGGACCCAAATCACAAGATGCCCCCTGCTTAGTTATAACAGCCTGTCACTGATATCAAAATTACAAGACCAAAATCCTTAACATAACAAGCCACAAAATAAATCAAATACCAGCAAGATCCAAAACCATTTCCACAAGACACCCCCTGCATCTTGCAGGACCCAAACCACAAGAAGCCCCCTGCTTCCTTTGGGTGTATACCAGTAAAATCCAAAACCTTTTCTGCAAGACACCCCCTGCACCTTGCAGGACACAAACCACAAGAAGCCCCCTGCTTCTTGTGGGTGTCTACCAAACGGACGCTAGCAGCCGGGTATATGCCTTTACCTATGAGATTTCCTATCTCGATTTACGGAAGGCTTCCAAACCATGCATACACTTACCAAACCAATTCACCAAACCAATTCACCAAACCAATTTACCAAACCGAGATGCCCCCTGCACCTTAAAAATTATATAAAAGAAAATAATACCTTTTATGAGATGGTCCTTGTCTGCTCCCGCAGCGATCCGAATGAGTCGGACCCTTGATAGGACAAGGGGCAATGGGTTCAACCTTAAACAGGGAAAGTTCAGGTTAGATAGAAGGAAGTGCTTTACTGCAAGGATGGTGAAGCACTGGAACAGGTTGCCCAAAGGAGTGGTAAATGCTCCATCCCTGACAGTGTTCAAGGCCAGGTTGGACATAGCCTTGGGCAACATAGTTTAGTGTGAGGTGTCCCTGCCCAGGGCAGGGGAGTTGGAACTAGATAATCTTAAGGTCCTTTCCAACCCTAATTATTCTATGATTCTTATCAACAGGACCTCAACCGGCTGGACACATCAGTGAAGTAGAAACTCAGTAGAAACTGAGATCTGCTATACTTCTAAACTAGTTATCAGAGCTGCTTAAGTAATTGTCTTACTGCTACTGTAATGAGTAAAGTTGACACTGGCTTTATTTTATGCTCATCAACAGATTTCCAAGTGTTATTATTTATGTACTTCTACTGTTCTAGCAGCATTGATTTTTCCCTGTGGTGAAAAGTAACAATTACATGATTTGTGTTTATATAAATGACAGGTCAAAACTCACAAGGAGAGGCAGCACTTGATTGAAAACCAGACCAAGTTTTAGGTATGCAATTTTTCCAGGACTGATGATGATAATCTTAGAAAACTAAATACGGATAGAAAAAATTACTTCCAAGTTTAGCTTTTATTATTCAGTTAGATATACTGAGAAATAAAGGGGCTGGTTCTTGTGGAATGGAAGTGTTAGCAAGAAGAAATGTGATGATATAATTAACTCCTAGGAAATACAGATAAATAATTATTGGTTGTGGGTAAAGTATAGAAATCATAATTGCCATAAAACCAATCTCTCTACTGAGTCTGTAATGTTTAGTATCCAGTAATTGTGAGTGTTTAGTTCTTAAGCTCAGGATCAAGACTTAAGAAGTCAGAGATAAATGGTTATTTTGTAAGAAAATCATCTCCTTTATTAATTTGCTGTAGAAGCACACACTGGTGAACAACTGTTATGTTCTCCCCCATCATTTATACAGAAGCATTTCAAAGTGTGTCACAGACCAAAGCTAATACACATTCATTCCATCTTTTCACTTTGAGGAAAGGCATTCATTATGGATTCACTTTGGCAAGTTTTCGTGCCTGCTCTTGCAGTCTCGTTCCATCCATTGCATGGTGGCCTATCTGAGGCTTCCTGCTGCTGCTGAGTGTGGTGAGGCTATGGGATTATTTGAAAGCTAGGAGCTCTGCTTGAGTAGCATACATCATACAAGGAAGAAAACTTTTTTTTGGCAGCATAAATCAGGTAGTTGAGTGTAGAAAGAGATAAAAATATTTGCTCCAACAACTACCCTTCAACCTAAATAACTGAAGAACACCAGAGCTCTCAGTCTAAACCACACAAAGAAAAGCACCTAAGTATTATTGTTACCATTTTAAGAGAAATTAGGAAATGTATTAAATCATTTTAAAGTCATATAAAAACCCTAAAAGGAGTAGGGACAGAAGTTCCTGGTTCTCCTTTTCAAGCAAAATAATGTCCATTCTCCAACTGTGCACCAGAAAGGAAAGGTTGAATTCTGTTTTAAGTTGTTTCCTTTGGAAAGCTGTCATTTAGCCACACTCGTGTAACTCAACCATAGCCTTAGATGTCACATCAACTTTGGATGCACATTTGTGGATTCATTAAGTCTAATGGGATCAGCTGCTTCAGTTTAATGGTTTGTCAAGTGAAAGTTTTAGTTTCATGCCCATGATGTCCTTACAACAGTATGCCTACTCAATCTGACACACATGGATATGTTATATGTCAAACTATGACTGATCATACAATTTTCACATGTACCTACTCTTCTGAAATCACCACAATTGCTAGGCACAAGGTGTAGAATTCCTTAATTACTTGTGACATAAGTATTTACTAGACAAAAATAATACAGCCTAAGCAATCCACTATAGAAACTTGATAAACTATCATCCCAGTTTTGTGTACTAAGAAAGCATATAAATCAGAAGACAGAACTATTTGATTACATAGTAAAGTGAAAAAGGAAAACAAAGGATTAATAAATTCTGTAAAGAAGTAAAAATCAAAGAGGTAGTTGATGTGGCTTCTTTTTTGGTATCATCTTTGCAACTGTAATTGGGAAAAATATTAGGAGGTTAGGGAGACACCACTTTTCAGTATCTTGGGAGCATTAGAAAAGTATTTCAGGGAAAGCTCTAGCCCAGGTTATGAGAACAGTCATGTGCCAACTACAGACTTCACATATTAAGGCTGTTGTTACTAAACTTGATTGTCAAATCTTTCTTGGAAAGTATATATTTTAGTAAATAAACTGTGTTTCCCAAAATATTATAGAGAATATCCTGAAGTTACATAAATCAGACAGTAGAATAAAACCCCCTTGCAGGTATAGAGATGTGTCGTGGTTTAAACCCAGCCATACAGCTCATTCACTCACTCCCCCCCCCCCCCCTTCCTCACTCCCCCTACTCCCAGGGGGATGGAGAGGAGAATCAGAAAGAATGCAACTCCCACAGGTTGAGATAAGAACAGTTTAGTAACTAAGGTATAACACAAATCACTACTGCTACCACCAATGATAATAATGATAAAGGAAATAACAAGGGAAGAGAATACACCACCTCCTCACCACCCGCCGACCGATAACTTGCCCCCACCCTGACCAAGCACCAACCGATACCTAGTCCAACCCTGCAGAAGACTAGCCCTTCTGGGTAACTTTCAGTTACATCCTGGGAATGACGTGCTGTGGTATGGAATACCTCTTTGGCTAGTTTGGGTCAGGTGTCCTGTCTCTGCTTCCTCCCGGCTTCCTCTCCTCCCTGGCACAGCATGAGGATCAAAGTCATTGGCCAGACCAAACATTTGAGCAGCAACTAAAAACATTGACCTTATCACTGTTCCCAGGCCAAAAAAAAAATCAAAAACACATCGCTGCACCAGCCACCAAGGGGAAAAAAAAAATAAATAAAAAAATAGACTGCTACTGCTGAACCCAGGACAAGATGTTAAACATTTTTATCACTGTAATTACTTATGGCCTTGTACATGTGATCATAAGTGGTATTTTTCAGGTTGCCAAAACTGGATATTCTGTACTTCAGTGATTGATGACAAAGTATATAGAAATATTTTATATGGATTAATTTCATTATTCCAGCTCAGTCCTCAATGGATTTTATGTATTTCTCATCGGCATCTTCATTCATCAGTTCATCAAGTTCAGCAGGGTTTTCCACAGTCATCTTGATAAGCCAACCTGCACTTCGGAAATGAAAAACAGTTGTTAATATCCTACAAGAAGGATTAATTCATGTCTCTGCCTTCAAAAAGTACCCCCAATTGGCTACAAGCCCTTTAACACTTGTACAATCAACAGGATTTCTTGTGCAGGCAAAACAATGTTTTAATAATTTATTTTTTTTTTTTTAAATGAATAAGCAACTTGTCATAAGGAATGGCCTTTTGAGCCAGACCAGCTGTCTGAGAGAAATGCGATGGAGGGAAATAGATCTAAATGCAACTACAGCCTATGTCTGAAAAGAACAAACTAAAACAGCTGTCAGCAAAGACAAGAATATAGTAACACTTTCATGTTAAATTTTACTGGGCTTTATATTCAATATATTACATTTAAGCCTCCACACCATTAAAGGGATGGTCTATGGACTAAGGAATTAGATCTGTCTCGTGTGGGGAGAGAGAAAAAGAGAGAAAGCAATAGTATATTGAAAAATGTGGGACCTGAACATTATGCAAATGGCATGGAACAAGGGGTGGATACTATCCTGGATTAATCTGTAACAGTTATTGTTCTCCTTCCTAGTACCTGGTGCAGTGCTGTGTTTGCAACTTTAGTCTGAGTAGAATGGCCCCTCAGTTTAAGAAGGACAGGGACCTGCTGGAGAGAGTCCAGCGCAGGGCAACTAAGATGATTAAGGGAGTGGAGCATCTCCCTTATGAGGAAAGACTGAGGGAGCTGGGTCTCTATAGTTTGGAGAAGAGGAGATTGAGGGGTGACCTTATTAGTGTATATAAATATATAAAGGGGGAGTGTCACGAGGATGGAGCCAGGCTCTTCTCAGTGGCAAACAATGATAGGACAAGGGGCAATGGGTACAAACTGGAACACAAGAGGTTCCACTTAAACTTGAGAAGAAACTTCTTCTCAGTGAGGGTGACAGAACACTGGAACGGGCTGCCCAGGGAGGTTGTGGAGTCTCCTTCTCTGGAGACATTCAAAACCTGCCTGGACATGTTCCTGTGTAACCTTATCTAGGTGTTCCTGCTCCGGCAGGGGGATTGGACTAGATGATCTTTTGAGGTCCCTTCCAATCTTTAACATACTGTGATACTGTGATACTGTAATGCTGATAGCAATAACTAAAATATTGGTGTGTTAAGTAATGTTGACTCTGATCAAGGACTTTTATGGTCTCTCATGCTCTGTCAGTGAGGAGGGGAACGAGAAGCCAGGAGGAAGCAGAGACAGGACACCTGACCCAAACTAGCCGAAGAGGTATTCCATACCACAGCACGTCATGCCCAGCAATCAAACTGGGGGGAATTACCCGGAAGGCCCATATGGCTGCTCGGGTCAGGCTGGGTATTAAGTCAGCAGGTGGTAAACAATTGTACTGTGCATCACTTGTGTTTATTGGTTTGATTTTCCCCTTTCCCTTTTAGTTTTATATTCTCTCCCCTTGTTATTTCCCTTATTGTTCTTCTTATTATTGTTAGTTTTATATTATACTTCAGTTACTGGACTGTTCTTATCTCAACCTGTGGGATTTACATTCTTTCAGTTCTTCTTCCCATCCTGCCAGGGGGGTGAGGAACGAGCAAGCATGGTTCTGAGTTACCAGCTAGGCTTAAACCATGACACCTCCACACCATTAAACTGAAAGAACTAGGAACTGAAGAGCCATTTGTTCTAGCAATAATCCAGGTGGTATTCATTATCAAAAGATAAAAATGATCTCTTACAATCTCGATAACAAGATTTATTGACAAGCCCTGGACTATCTGCAAGGGCATCGTTAATCTCAGTCACTTCTCCTGAGAGAGGAGAGGAGAGTTCACTAGCAGCTTTCACACTTTCCAAAGCTCCAAACTCATCTGAAACACAAAAGCGCTCCATCGTATTCTAAGATGATAATATAAAGGGCTTAGTTTTTTTGGTCAGACCTTCTGGTGATGACCTAGCTATTGAAGACGTGTCTTGATCTTGAGCAAGGAAAAAATGTCAGAAACTGAAGTCACCAACTTTATGACAATGATCAGCAGTTCAGTTTTATATTTATGCTCCTGAATTATTTTGGGGAACTTGCATAACATTAGCTACCTGGCCACTACAAAAGGGACAGAATTTTCTTACATTTAGACTGATCCTTCAGCTAAAACCCTACAGATTATGGTAGGATATAAGGTTAGAAGGAATCACATCCAGCTCTTGGGGCAAAAGACCTAAATAAGCCTTTTATCTTCAATTCAAACATTTTAATACATAATATGGTTACAAAATACACAACCACTATTTGAGGAATTACAGTTTTTCTTCAGAAACACTATTAAGTGTTACATTTGCATTCAGAAAATGTGCATTACTATTCAGAAGCACCACATGGGAATCACCCAGCTGCTCTTCCCTTTTTTCTGGTTTGTAGACGGTTATGTAAATGGTGCCTGGAGCAATGTTAGTCCTGAGTAACTTCAAGCCACAAGGAAACAAGACAGAGGCTGGAGGAACAGAGCTGTCAGAAGAGTAGATAGGCATCAACAGCACAAGGAATCAGAGAACAACATGTTCTACGAAAGCCTGGAATTAGACTAAAGCCAGAACATGTAGAAAATAACTAAATTGAAATTAATTCCTTCAGATAAAACTACAAGTTGGTTAATTAAAACCCTAAACAGAAAGACCTTTTCTCTAACATTCACCATTCAATGTGATGTACTAGAACTGGCCAAAACAGTTCACTATGAACCTATTCCACAAAGGAGGATGGCAAAAAGAAAGGCCTGCTACTTGACCTCAGTAACTATGTTCTTTTTCTGCAACCTCTTCATATACAAGCAAAAGATCTCTCTCTGTAAGCACAGGAATAAACTTTTACTTTCTACCTGTTAATGCCCACCCTTCTTTAACATGGAAAACTACACAACTTAATAATTAAGAATGTAACAATTTGTATATCACTAATGAGCAGAAATCTATGATTATGTCTGATACCCCCCAAATTACTGTCTGTATGTTTACATAAAAATTAGAGCTTGATATCAATTAGATGCTTCACATTGTGCAACTCATGAAATGCTTAACTGCAGAATTGCAAATAAGCCAGCCTGAACACTAGGTAAGTCTAAATCAAAGCATAAATATTTTAAAAACAAAGCATAGGTAAAATTATTACAAAAAGATATTTCAAATTTTTTTTTAATAAATGTCTTGACAGTTTAATAGGCAGGTATTTTCTGCTATCACACATGGTCTGACAGTGATAACTTTAAATAAATCTGTCTCTTGTAGAAATACACAAATTTGTTTTGCATCCAGAAGATTAGTAATGGTATTAATGAACATAAATATTACTTCGTAAAATTAATCTCTACAAAGGGAGAGTGGAATGAGTAGAATAATGACTTCATTAGAAATTAGAGCTGAAACTTACCATTTTTACTCAGTTTTGTCCCAATTTCTGGAAGACTACAGTAAACAACATCTCCTAATGCTTCCTTAAAAGAAAAACAAAAGGATCAAAGCATGCATTAAAGAAACTATATGTAGGAGAGATCTGATACAGTAACTGTACAATCTGTATAGAAGTAATCTCTGTCTCTAAATTTAGTTCTCATTCTTTAAGGCCTACATGTTTTTCACTTTTTATTTTTAAACATTTAATTTGGAAAAGGTTTGTTATCACACCCCAAATGCCAAATTATTGTTTATATATTATGGTGCTAATAACCCTCACAATGAGTTACAAGGTATATATGCATAGGCTGATCTTCTTCACATCAGCTAGAGTAACAACTGTTTTAAAGGACACCATTCCCAATGATTGGAGGGAATTTGCTTTTTGTTACTTCCAGTGCAATTTGAAAGAAAATGCAGCATTTCCGCTCCAGAGACATGGACAGCTAGACAGTTTGTCCTGACTTAATAAGGAGCCTTATCATCATAAGGATCAGCTCAACCAGAACAGGCATCTGCCTCTTCCGTAACAAATGTAACCCATCTCACAAAAGTCTAGGGATTTTACAGAGTATTAGCGTTACTTACAGAAAATGGAGATCATGGGAAATACTGCTTGGCCTACAAAATACTAATTCCACTTTATCAATAGCTTTGCACATTAGATTTTCTGAAGTTTCACAGTGAATCTTACCCTGAATTTGCCTACAACTATTCCAAATCAAGTACTTGTGCAAGAACAAAACAAAAAAATCCAAAGAAATTCTTATCCTAGAGTAAGATGTATATATACCATGTTGTACTACTATTCACAATTGTTCTTTAGCCAGAGGGACTGCACCATATTCACATTCAAGGGAAATTTGACAAAAAAAGTGAACAGTATCCTCTACATAGTCATGACCTCCTCAGGACTGTAAGAACTCAAGTAATAAAGGAGGCTTTGAATTCTGATAAACCAAGTTTCTCATCAAGTTCAGCTCTCCATAGGCTCAATGGTTAAGAATTTATCAGGATGCTGAAGCAGCATTCATTTCACAAAAACTGCGATAGAACCAAGCCCAAAAATCATGCCCAGTGGATAGCATAGGCAGTTAGAACAGTAAAAACACCTGTGCAAAGAGCAAGGACAAGAGCAGGTACACATAAATAAATATTGCAGACTTAGATAAGGGGGGGGAGGGATTGATACCTGTGCAAAACTTCTGATTCCTACCGTTCCAATGCCATTTTCAACAGATATCCATTCATGCTTCTCTGCGAATTTGCAGGCTAAAATAAAACAAACCTGATATTTCAGAAATAAGTGACATGTTGCTCACTTAAATAAAGTAACACATTTGCAGGGTCAAACTGTGTTTTTTTTTTTACAGAGGTGAGTTTTGTTAGTTTTTCTTGGAAAACATTTTAAAGAGGAAAAAAATTACAGAAGCATTTTGTTTTGCTCATGACATGCTTAGTAATGCCCACTAGGTTTTCTGCTGAGAGTATTACTGGTTCCTATGCAAAGGAGTACTACTTCAAACAAAAGTCTATGTCTGAAGCATGTATGTACTCATTTCTATGCTAGCATGGTGGCTTTTCAAGCATATTTAGTGTTTGCTTCTAACAACCACTTCATTACTCCAGGGAAGGCCAGGGTTAATGACTGTTAGAAACACTGTCAGCATTACAGCATCTCATTCAAAGTACTTATAGAGCCATGAAGTAAGAGAGTTACAACCTAGCTAGGAAAAGGGGCTGATTCACTTCACTCCCCTGACATTTCCTATAGAGTCTATTTCTCCCAGTTTAATGTTGTCACAGATCTGTGTAAATTTAAGACAAATTGATACAGGGCAAATAAATAAAACCAGTCATACAGACAACTGCCACTTAAGAGAATTTGCTCACTGTTATGAACGTTACTGTGAAAAGAACACAGTTATTCTGTAGTTTTAAAATAAGTATGATTAAGACCCTATTAAGTCTTTTCACATCAATCTTGCAATTCTACATATATTTTAGATCTATAACATTCACAGCAGCTTGTACCAGCTTTTATTATTAGCAATTCTTCCTATAAAGCCATACAGAGAAACTTCAAAAGAAGTACGTGAAATCAGCAACATTTTTCTCACTGAGTTTTTACCTGGAACTTTTATTACTCTGAGCATTTTCACCCTGCTTTGTCTGCTTTCTCAGTTCCATAGTTCCCATGAAGATATCTCCCCCCTTTTTTATTAAAATATTTTTTAATTTTCACTTGCAGCGCCTATCCAATCAGGCAAGGGATGTGCCAGAAACTGGAGAAAACAATTTCTTAAACAGAGCTCTCTCTGCGATGAGCACTAGAGTAGTACAGCTGAACATTCCATTGAGTTCCAAACTATTCCCTTAGGCTTTTCTTCTAGGCTGGACTCCTTATCCCAGCTGAAGAAACTACACTTTTGTAAATCCTTGTATATTTTCTAAACATAAAGGAAAGTAGAAATTGTCTCTGTAGACCTGCTACAATCTTTCCACTCTCAGACATATTTTAAGCCATTTCAGTTGTACCAATCATCTCATTTATGTTTGAACACATTTAAGAGAAGCAAGTCTCAGATAAAATGGTTTGTCTTTAAAGATGGCCCAAGTTTTATAGAACTCAATAGAACAATACATGCTTTTCTCAGTACACAAAACACTGAGGAAAATATAAAGTATTTTCCAAGGAATTCTCACTCCAAAACCCCAAAGAATTTCAGCTAACATTATTTCTACCTACAGAAATCTCTCAGAACATGTTCTGATAAACAAATCAGAAGTCTTAAGTAATTTTAGGTCAAGACATTAAACCCGCAGGAATTCCTTTGGAAATGAAAAACCATAGAATAGTTAGGGTTGGAAAGGACCTTAAGATCATCTAGCTCTAACCCCCCTGCCATGAACAGGGACAACTCACCAAGTCACCCAAGGCTCTGTCCAACGTGGCCATAAACACTGACAGGAATGGAACATTTACCACTTCCTTGGGCAACCTGCTCCAGTGCCTCGCCACCCTAACAGTAAAGAGTTTTTCCCTTATATCTAGCCTGAACTTCCACTGCTTAAGTCTGAACCCACTACCCCTTGTCCTATCACTACAGTCTGATGAAGAGTCCCTCTCCAGCACCCTAATAGGACCCCTTCAGACACTGGAAGTCTGCCATAAGGTCTCCATGCAGCCTTCTCTTCTCCAGGTTGAACAGCCCAAACTTTCTTAGCCTGTCTTCATATGGAATGTGCTCCAGCACTCTTATCATCCTCATGGCCCTCCTCTGGACTTGCTTTAACAGCTCCATGACCTTCATATGCTGAGAACACAAGAACTGCACACAGTACTCCAAGTGGGATCTCACAAGATGTCCTGGATTCAGCTGTAGCAGTTATTTTTCTCCTCCTTAGTAGCTGGTGCAGTACTTTGTCTGCAACTTTATCCTGGGAACAATGCTAATAACAAACGGATGTTTTTAGTTGTTGCTAAGTAATGCTTACCCCATCAAGGACTTTTCAGTCTCATGCTCTGCCAGCGAGGAGGGACACAGGAAGCCAGGAGGAAGCAGAGACAAAACATCTGACCCAAACAAGCCAAAGGGGTATTCCATTCCACAGCATATCAGGCCCACTATATAAGCTGTGTACAATACTCCAAATGAGGTCTCATAAGAGCAGAGTAGAGGGGCAGGATCATATCATTTGACCTGCTGGTCACACTACTTTTAATGCAGCCCAGGATATGGTTGGCTTTCTGGGCTGCAAGTGCATGCTGCTGACTCAGGTTCAGTTTCTCACCAACCAACACCCCGAAGTCCTTCTCCACAGGGCTGCTCTGAATCTCTTCTCTGCCCAACCTGTAGCTGTGCCTGGGACTGACTTGACCTGGGTGTAGTGAGACGGGGGGGGGGGGGGGACAACGACACAAAATTACAAAACGGAATATACAAACCTTTAGAATCAGTTTTAAGTAATGTTAAAGTTTGATGGCTTTGTAACAGTAGCAATGGAAAATTATTGAGGTGCATGATACATAGAGAAAAAAATAGAGTACAGCTAGAGAACATACTGAGAATTCTTGTACAAGATAAATTGCTATAGTTGACATAGTTTTCCAAAAAACAGTCTAGAAGAACAGGACACCGGGATACAGAGTATCTGGGAACTGAAAGTGTCCAGGATGGGCTACAGTTAAACTAACTGATAAGTAGAAGGACAGGAGGATTCTTATGTCTCTGGTGCTAACAAACCAATGAAGCTGGTATAAGCATCTACTGGGCGTGCTTCAAAGGCTGTCAGAAGTGATGAAAACTGTTGGAAGAAGTAAACAACCCTCAGAGACCACCACCACAATTTTGTACACATGCGGGGAACTTTCTGGAAAATAATGTAATCCATACGTAGCCTCATGAATATGTATGTATGCCCAGGAACTATATAAGGGCAGCTTGTGCAGCAATATGGGGACACATGTTAGGAGGAGCTATCCCCCGTGCCTACTGTCACCACAATAAAGAATACCTGCTTGTCAACTTGAAAACTTTGTTGGCAAGTTTGTTTCTGGAGTTTTCTCTGAATTAGTAGGACCTTGCACTTGGCTTGGTTGAATTTCATGAGACTGGCATTGGCCCACCTCTCAAGCATGTCAAGATACCTCTGGATGGCATTCTTTCCCTCCAGCATATCAACCGAACCACACAGCTTTGTGTCGTTGGCAAACCTGCTGAGGATACACTCAGTCCCACTGTCCATGTCACTGATAAAGATGTTGAACAGGATTGGTCCCAACACCCAGCCCTGAGGGACACCATTCTACTAGCCTCCAATTGGACATTGAGCCATTGACCACAACTCTTTGCATGCAGCTATCCAGCCAATTCTTCATCTACCAAGTGATCCATCTATCAAATTGATGTATCTCCAGTTTAGGGACAAGGATGTTGTGTGGGACAGTACTGAACACTTTGCAGAAGTCCAGGTAGATGGCATCAACTGCTCTGCCCCATCCATCAGTTCTGTAGCCCCATCATAGAAGGCCACCAAATTGGTCAGGCAGGGTTTGCCCTTAGTGAAGCCATGTTGGCTGTCACCAATTACCTTGTTTTTCATGTGCCTTAGAATGCTTTCCAGAATAATTGGCTCCAAGATTTTGCCATGCACAGAGGTGAGACTGACTGGTCTGTAGTTTCCTGGGTTATGAACCATAATGGAGAATGACACAATCTCAAACCCAAGCTGAACATCTATGACACTACACATGTCACAAAAGCTAACCACTTTTTTTTTTTTAAATGTAGGATAAGAATATTGCATAAGATTAGTTTATAAGTCAAGGTTAAAAACAGAAGAAAAACTGGAAGACTTCCATAATCAGTTTTGAACAGAGCAATAAAATGTTCTCAACAGCTGGAAGAGCACTTAAGTTTCTTGTAGGACAAAGAAAACAGTTAGAAATGAAAAATTCTAAGCATGCAACAAAACCACTGCATATAAAGGTCAAATTAAGGAGTTAATAAGTAATCTTAAAATCTGACCTTTGATCTTATGTGATTAGCCCACTAAATAAATCAAATTAAACAAACATGAACTGACAAAGCACACCAAATCTCTTCTGGGAGCATTCTTTTTTAGGAGAGCAGCAAAATTTACTCTAGCTTCATTCATTTCAGCAGGACTTCAGTTTTGGCTGAATTCAGACCTTTACTTAGCTTAGCCTGCCTCTATTAATTATTTCATAAATATATACCTGAAGAGTGAAAGATTCACACCTCCACAGAGGCAAACAAATTTTTTCCTCTCTGCCTAAAATAAAAGCATAGTTTGTTATTGCTTCAAGTTATAGCTATAAAAAAAAGGATGCATTAATTAGAACAGTGAAAAAAAGCTTACATTTTTTACTCAATTTGCAAATAATAACTAATAAATTCTCTCACTTGGTGCAGAAGACTGTTAAAAAATAGGTTAAAAGACTATCTGGAAATAAATTTATGACCTCTTCTTAGTGGCAATCATTTCTATAGCATATTCTCCTACCTTTTCAAAGTTTGTTTGCTGGTATACCACTAGCTATTTTTCAGACTTTCATTCAAAGGGAGCTTTGGCAGCAGCAGATACTTTCAGAATTAACTATATTAAGTGAAAAAATCACACCAAGCACTGATGTGCAAGTCCACCTCCTGCGTTACCACTTCTGTAGCTGTGCTGCACAGGAGCTGCTGAGGCAGAGCCAAACTTTTTTATCCCAAACAGGCCCAACGCCCTAAAAACCTGGCTAAGGTTTCTTGGCAGCTCACCCCACCTAACTACTACCAGCCTGTCTCCTCTCCCCACCCGGCTGTGCCTCTTTTTCTAGTCCTAATGCTGATGCTCCTCAGACAAGGATCCTGGGAAAAAATACCTGCTTCCTTTATCAAGTTCATGTTCTGCATGCTCACCTCAATATGCAAAGCCCCTGACTGGGGTTGGAATGGGACATGGCCACTTGGCTAAAGAACTGCATCATGGAAAAGAAATTAAAAGTTTTCTGCCAATTAGCAGAGATGAACCCACTCCTCATGGGAGGAGGAACTGGGAGGTTGTCAGCACCAGGGGCAAGTGAAACAGCACTCTGATTGCCCTCTGCATCTACAAGCTCTCGCTGGGCTTCAGCCACTTTGCAGGATTCCACGCGCGCACCTGGGGTGGAGATGGCCAGTCCCAGCCCAGGATAGACTGCAGCACCCTGGTCTTCCCGGCCACGGAAGCCCCGAGCGCGCCGCACAGGGAGCATTTCTGCTCGTCATGTCCAGACAGACGGAAAGGCAAACTCCTGTAGTACTCAGCGCATCGAGAGAAATGGTCATCTCATCACCCACTGGATACGACTCCACTCCGCCACAACTCGCACCCCACAAAAGCTGGCCCGGCGATAACCACAACCCATCCACCCTTCCCTCCCGGCAATCCTGACAGAGCGCAACTGATGACTCGACGACTCACCGGACAGCACCAGTGAGCTAGTGGCCAGCCTCCGAGCGATGAACACCCGTAACAACAATAGCAGTAGCGAGAGACGCAACCTACAGTGCTCGCCATGCCATCTTCACCGGGCCGAGCGGGTAGTGCCGCGCCAAGCTCCTGTCTTTCGGGGTCGTGTCAGGGGCGGTTGTTATGCTGTGCAGAGGAGTGACTATGGCCGGGTTGCTTCAGGACAGATGTCCTTGGGGATAGCCATTTTCCCATAGCGCTTGCTTGGCGGAAAGTGAGTGGCTTTACGTGTGAAATAGGAGCTCACTTCTCTAATAGAGATAACAGGGTTTTATTGAGGGACAAAGTCAATAACGCAAAAGCAACAGCACTGGGTGCGTGACCGTAGCCAGAGGTGCACTGATTAGCATTTGTTACAGGCTTATATACTTTCACTAATGCATTAGTTACAGGCTTATATACTTTCACTAATGCATTAGTTACATGCATATTCATAATTCCCGCATATAGGCGTGGGATATTATAACTAGCTCCAAGAATTTATTATCATAAGTCTCTTTCTCTTGGCATCTGCACACTGCTCTCTGGTGATTGTGGCCAGGGGTCTTGAGGATGAAGTAAGCAGTCTTCCTCTTGTAAGTAGGGGTCTTCAAGATGAAGTAAGCAGTCTTCCTCACAGTGTACTTTTCAACTTTGGCACAGTTGGACGCCCCAGTAATCACAGAACTAGCTGAAACCAGCCATATCTGTAATTCTTCTGAGAACTAGCAAATATTTAGAACAGTGTGACCTTCCTGCAAAATTTATTGCAGGATGGGCAGACAAGGAGTATGAAAAGCTAGCAGATGTTTGGGAGGCTCTGTCTCTAAACTAACTGATAAGTAGAAGGATGGTGTGAAATAACTCATTCATGTTTAGTGGGGTCACTAAACCCTGTTATCTCACCACAGACTTACAACACAAACATTGTTCTTTAAAACTAAAGATACTTTAGGAGACTAGTGTGAAACAATTAACTCCTGTTTAGTGGGGCCACTAAATTCCACAGATTTACAACACAAACATTGTTCTCTTTCTACAACATAAGTTAAGCTAAAAAGTACTTTAACTCTATGTTTTCCACTCAGTAGCTTTTCTTATATGAAGCCCCCCCCCCCCCCCATTTTTCTTTTACCTTTACAAATTCTTTTGCTATGTGACTCTGTTTTGCTCAAGATTTCTGGCCCTTTTTAACTTGCTATCTAATCTTGTGTCCTTAGCGAGCTTTGTTTCTGTTATTGTGAACTCACACAGTTATATCCACATAGTCACACCTATGATTTGCGAAAGCCAATACATTTATGTGTTTATAACATAAGCATGCAACAAAAGCTCCGTTTTTATTAAATACAGGTATTAACTCTACAGGAAGCACACACGGGATGTTTTGTCTTAGGCTTAGCTATTTCTTAGCTAATACTTCTAAATAACATGTCCACAACAGTTTATTGGTTGAATGCCACAGTGTTTTAGTCAGAAGCTATGATAACCTAATTCAAGCTATTGCAGCTGATAGTTAAAAAGTAAATCTTTTACACACAAAGTGACTTTTTAATGTGGTTATTATTTAACCATTGATGGGTGACTGTGGGAACTGCAAGCCATCCTGTTCCCACTATTTGGATGATTAAAGAATTGCTGATAGTGCACCTGGGTCTTGAGTAAGCCAGGGAGTGTTTGGGTGTAAGGTTGGGCTGGGAAGCTGCCTGGTGAGTGATTGTTTTTAGGATGGAATTCATAGTGCCTGAAAAGTCACTGGGAATGATGTATTTGCTGCTTGGTTTCATGGCTCAGACCTCTATTTGTATTCTGTATATTACCATGCTGGAGTGAATAAAGTAGAGCTAGTTGTGAAAGCTCTGTGTTTGTGTGTAGGTGTAGGTGTAGGTAGCCTCTTTCTTTACAGATGCTGCAAATGGTGCCCTCCGTGTGTGGTAACTAAACTGCTTGACATTGCAGTGTCCAGGTGATCCGACAGGGAATTTCTGGTACCAACATTCGCCTGTTAGAGGTCAGTAATACCCGTTGAATGGGTATTCTATTCTATTTTATGATTCTGTGATTCTATGTTTTCTTTACTTGTTTAAGTACCAGTACACCAGGGTTCTAAGGATTAAAGCATTCCAAAAGTTCATATGAAGACCAGTATAACTCTCATCACTATTGTGGAAACACATTTGTTATCTTTTCATAACAGTTTACAAATAACGCAGAGGTTTTAAAGATAAAACTATTCCCACAAAGTTATGTCTTGGAGGCGGGGAGATTATTACTTGGGAAAGCAAGTGTTATCAGTGGTGCTTGAACATCTTGTTTTGTAAATTATTACTTCTCCTATAAACTGTCAACTGTAAAACGTAGGGAAAACAAGTTTTCAACCACATGGACCCTTTCTTTATGTGCTGCTTATGCATCTTAACTATCCTACAACAGTTCTCACAGAGAACTTGGCTGCAAGGTTGGAAGTATGACACTTCCCCCCCCCCCCCCCCCTAAAATGAGAGGTAGGTTGAAAGTTCCATCTGAACTTTTAAA